TCAAGACCCCTGAGCAAGTTGAACCCACAGTCCCTGATCTTGAGCCTCTTACCCCCACAGAGCAGCCTGTCACTCCCAGGGCCACTCGAGGCAGGACCCTTAGGTCCTCTATCAAGACTCCTGAACCAGTTGAGCCCACAGCCGCTAATCTTGAGCCTCCCCCTACTGTAGAGCAGCCTGTCACCCCTAAGGCCATAGCTCAGAGTGGTCAGAGTGGGACACTAAGGTCTTCTACATTAAATGCTGTCCCAGTTCCTACCCCCTCTGAATTCCAGTCCACTGTCACCACAGAGCAGCCTACCCTGGAGCCCATTCCTCAAGCCAATAACAGCAGGGGACAGAGGGCTAGAAGGAAGCATGGCTCCCCCATAGCTCCCATTATCTACAAACCTTGCTCCGCACTCCCTGAACCTAAATCCCAATTATCAAGCAACCAAAGACAAGGAGCAGTGAGAGCAGCTGAATCCCTTGGGACTGTTCCTGAGCCTGCCTTTCCCCAGCTTCTTGGGGTACCCACCCATGCTCCCCAGATCCAAAAGGTAGAAGCAGCAGGCATATCCGGGGTCATTCAAGAGCCTCCGAAGACCTCTCCAAGCCACAAGAGGTCTTCAGCGCCCATGGATTCACCCCCACTTCAAAAACGGCCCCGAAGAGGGGAAGTGTCCCGGAAGACGGTATTCCCCAAGGAAGAGGTGAGGAGAGGGCTGGGGCCACGGAGCTAGGAAGATGGGCACCTGGCTCAGAAATTCCCACTAAGGTCTCTCTCAAACCCAGGATTTGGTGGTTCCAGTGCCAGGCAAGAGAAGGAGAGACCAGGCAGAGGAAAAGCCCAAGGGAATTCCAAGCTGCAGTCGTCGCCGAACCAAACCTCACCAACAATCAGCAGCCCCCAAAGTAGGGGGAAAAGTGTCTGGGGCTTTGTGGGAGGATGGGAGGAGAGCTAGAGGATGTGACAGCCTGGTGCTGCTGTCATGGGTTGCTAGCCCAGATTAACCCCTCCCACAGGTGCTTTTCACAGGAGTCCTGGATGTTCGCGGGGAGCAGGCGGTGCTGGAACTCGGTGGGAGTCTAGCCAGCTCGGTGGCAGAGGCTTCCCACCTGGTCACTGATCGAATCTGCCGCACTGTCAAATTCCTATGTGCCCTAGGGCGGGGCATCCCCATCCTTTCCCTGGACTGGCTGTATCAGGTGAGGAACCCAGGGGTGACAGACCAATGGATAGAGTGACAGGAAAATAAAGTGGTGGGAAGAAAAAGGGGATACAGACATGGGAGGTGGGTAAGGGGAAGGCTAGATTAATCTGGAAAAACGTTACTTGAACTCTGCAAATGCTGGGCAGGGGAGCAGGGTGGGGGCTGGGCTGAGCACTCATGCTGAATGCCACCTCCTCTAGTCTCGAAAGGCTGGCTGCTTCCTGCCCCCGGATGAATATGTGGTGACCGATCCTGAGCAGGAGAAGAATTTTGGCTTCCGCCTTCGAGACGCCCTGAGCCGGGCCCGGGAGCGAAAGCTGCTGGAGGTGAGAGGCTACCTCCTACCCTGGGCTTCAGGCCTCCCTCCAAAATTACACAACAGCCCATGAGCTCTGAGCACAGAGACAGCCACTGCCTCCACCATTTCTTTCTCTTAGGGCTATGAGATTCATGTGACCCCTGGAGTCCAGCCGCCACCACCTCAGATGAGAGAGATCATCAGCTGCTGTGGAGGCACCATCTTACCTAGCATGCCCCGGTCCTACAAGGTATGATTGATGAGTTCTGAGTCTAGTGATGTGGCTGGAGTGGGAAAAGACTGGAGGAAGAAATAGAGGTGGGATTATACAGTAGTGGGGGGTTATGAAATGTATGGAATATAAAGGGATCAGGGGGCAAGTGTTTGGTGCCGGTGGTGTATGGGATGCCCAGCCCCCACATCTGAATGCCTGGGTTCAAGTCCCAGCTCTTTCTCTTCCAGCTTCCTGTGATGCCCACCCTCGGGATGGAATTCCTGTCTTTCCTTTGGGCCTGGACTGCCCTGGTTGCTGCTAGCATTTGGGGAAAGAACTGGCAGATGGGAGATTTCTGTCTCTAAAATACATGGATCTATAGACAGACTTGAAGGGAGAGGTGAGGGAAAGGACAGGAAGCAATGTTGTCTTTCATCTCTGATAAATAAATAAATGCTTTTTTTCATTTTTTAAAGATTTACTTATGTATTCAAAAGGCAGAGTTATAGAGAAGCAAAGAAAGAGAGGTCTTCCATCCACTGGTTCACTCCCCAAATGGTTGCGATGGCCGGAGCTGAGCCAATCCGAAGCCAGGAGTCAGGAGCTTCTTCTGGGTCTCGCACACAGGTGCAAGGGTCCAAGTACTTGGGCTATCCTCCGCTGATTCCCCAGGCGCATTAGCAGGGAGCTGGATTAGAAGTGTAGCAGCCAGTACTTGAGCCAACGCCCATATGGGATGCTGGCACTGCAGATGTGGTTTTACTTGCTACACCACAGAACTAGCCCCAATAAATACTTTTTTAAAAAAGGATAGGTGGGGCTGGTGCTGTGGCATAGCAAGTAAAGCCACTGCCTGCAGTGCAGGCATCTCACGGGTGCCAGTTCTAGTCCCGGCTGCTCCATTTCCGATCCAGCTCACTGCTATAGCCTGGGAAAGCAGTAGAAGATGGCCCATGTCCTGGGCCCCTGCACCTGCATGGGAGACCTGGAATAAGCTCCTTGCTCCTGGCTTTGGATCAGCCCAGCTTTGGCCATTGAAGCCAACTGGAGAGTGAACCCGCGGATGGAAGACACTCTCTCTCTCTTTCTCTCTTTCTCTCTCTCTCTCTCTCTCTCTGCCTCTGCCTCTCTGTAACTCTGCCTTTCAAATAAATAATCTTTTTTTTTTTAAAAGGGGGGGTGATAGGAATGAGAGATCTGCTGATACCACATGGACTTAGTTTTACTTTGTATTTTAACTTTTTTATTTATTTATTTTTGACAGGCAGAGTGGACAGTGAGAGAGAGAGACAGAAAGGTCTTCCTTTTGCCGTTGGTTCACCCTCCAATGGCCGCCGCGGCCAGCGTGCTGTAGCCGGTGCACCGCGCTGATCTAAAGGCAGGAACCAGGTGCTTATTCTGGTCTCCCATGCGGGTGCAAGGCCCAAACACTTGGGCCATCCTCCACTGCACTCCTGGGCCACAGCAGAGAGCTGGCCTGGAAGAGGGGCAACCGGGACAGAATCTGGCGCCCCAACAGGGACTAGAACCCGGTGTGCTGGCGCAGCAGGCAGAAGATTAGCCTATTGAGCCGTGGCGCTGCCCAATTTTTTTATTTTTTTAAAGACTTACTTATTTATTTGAAAGAGTTACAGAGAAGGAGACACAGAAACAGATCTTCCATCCACAGGTTCACTCCCCAAATGGCTGCAATGGCCAGAGGTGGACCAGGTCAAAGCCAGGAGCCAGGAGCTTCATCTGGGTCTCCCATGTGGGTACAGGGCCCCAAAGACTTGGGCCATCTTCCACTGCTTCCCCAGGTGCATTAGCAGGGAACTAGATTGGCAGTGGAATATCTAGAACTTGGACTGGTATTCATTTGGAAGGCTGGCATTGCAGGCGGTGGCTTAAACTGTTATGCCACAATGCCAAACCCTGTATTTTAATATTTTACAATATACAACAAAAGGAGAGAGTAAATAATGCAATACAGTGAACCCTTCTATATCAGGCACCACATTCAACAGTTTTTAGATTATGATACGATTATTCCACCACTTTTTTCTTTGATTTTCTTTGAGAATTATTTTATTTTAACTTACTGTTCAAACATTTATTTATTTGAAAGACAGGGTTACAGAGAGTGGGACAGAGAGAAAAAGGTCTTCCATCTACTGTTTCTCTTTCCAAATGGCTGCAACAACAGGGTTACTAAGCCAGGCCCAAACCAAGTGGAACTCCCTTCAGATCAGCACTTGGGCCATCTTAGTCTGCTTTCCCAGGTGCATAAGCAGGAAGCTGGATTGGAAGCAGAAGGGTTGATCGTTGAACTGGCAGTAATATGGGATGCCCATGTCACAAGCCATGGCTTAACCCACTGAGCTACAATGCCCACCCCATCTTGAAGTATTTTAAAGCAAACTGCAAACATTGTATTTTCTCATAAATATTTAATGCATACATTCTAAGAAATATATTCTTACATAATCACAATACCGTTTATTTATTTGAAAGGCAGAGTTAGGGAGAGATACAGAGAAGGATCTTCCATCCTGTGGCTCACGCCCCAGATGGCCACATGGCCAGGGCTAGGCAAGATAGAAGCCAGGAGCTTCTTCCAGGTCTACCATGTGGGTGCAGGGGCCCAAGTATTTGGGCCATCTTCCACTACTTTCCCAGGTACATTAGCAGGGAGCTGGAGTGGGGGGGAGGGTGGAGTTGCCAGGACTTAAACCATATGGGATGCAGCTTCTTTACTGGATATGCCACAATACCATTATTATTTTTTTAAAAGATTCATTTACTTATTAATTTGAAAGGCAGAGTGACAGAGAAAAGGGAAAGAGCAAGAGAGAGAGCTTCTATCCATTGGTTTATTTCTCAAATGTCTGAAGCATCTACAGCTAGACTGGCTAAGCCAGTCACCGGGAACTCCATCCAAGTCTCCCACATCAATAGCAGAGACCCAAGTACTTGGACCATTATCCGATGCCTTCCCATTAGTGGGAAGCTGGCTCAGAAGTAGAGCAGCAAGGACTCAAACCAGCACTCCAGTATGGGATGGCTGGCATTGCAAGCAGCAAATTAACTTGCTGTGCCACAATGCTGGCCTTTATGATACTAATATCAATCCTCAACAAAATTGATAGTTTTTTGCTCATTTTTTCACATGGCATTAATTAAATTTCATAAGCTATCTAAAAAAATGCCTTTATACAGATGTTCAATTCAAGGTTTCAAATGTGGCTGATGTGTTGCTGCCCTGTTCATCTGCTGATTAATTTACTGATGAGCATACCTCTACCCATTCAGCCTTTTTATGCTGTGACTTCATGCAGAAACCCAGTTACTTGTCCTTTAGAATGTTCCCCAGTCTGAGTTTTTCATTTTTTCCCTTGTATCATTTCCCTTGTTTCTTTACCTTCTATATTTTCTGTAAATTGTAGTTCCTTCTAAAAGCTTGAATAAATTCAGATGAAACTTTTCCTGCAAGCATATTTTGTATGGCTTCCTATCAGGAAGTACTATTTTGGTGATGCTAAGACGGATTAGTGGGGGCCAGCCTTTCAGCATGGTGGGTTAAGCTGCTGCCTGCGACGCCAACATCCCATATGGACAGTTGTTGGAGTTGGGGCTGCTCTACTTCCAATCCAGTTCCCCTGCTAATGGCCTGAGAAAGGCATCAGAAGATGGCCCAGTTGTTTGGGCCTCTGCTACCCATGTGGGAAACCAGGATGAAGCTCCTGGCTCCTGACTTCAACCTGGCCCAGCCCTAGCCATTGAAAGCTTGCTTGCTTTCTCTCTCTCTCCTCCTTTCTGTAATTCTGCTTTAAAAAAAAAAAAAAAAAAGAAAAGAAAGAAAGAAAAGAAAAGAAAAAAAAAGACTGATGAGTGGATCCTGATCCTATTTCTAGGATCCTTTTTTCACCTGTGACTTCCTGTCTTCCCCAGCCTCAGAGAGTTGTGATCACGTGTCCCCAGGACTTCCCTCGCTGCTCCGGTCCACTTCGCCTTGGTGTGCCTCTCCTCTCATCCGAGTTCCTGCTGACAGGAGTGCTGAAGCAGGAAGCCACACCAGAGGCCTTTGTCTTCTCCGCTTTGGAATTGCCATCTACCTGAAAATCCCAGCATTCTTTTCAGTCCCAAACCAGTAAAGTATTGTGGAATAAAAGACTCAGGGCTTTAGAAAGGTTTGGGGTGTGCTGGTAGGACTTGTCCTGGAACTACAGTAGGACTAGAAAGATTTATGGATAAACAGCAAGATAGGGAGATTCTTTGGGGACCACAGATTTTCAAAAATGGCTGTTAATCTATTAATGTCATGCTCAGCTATCCTAACTCACTCACTATTCATCTCTAGCCATACTGATATTAATGTTCCATGGCACACAGGTGTCCCATCTCCCACTGGCAAGCCATCTCATCCTACTGGGATTCTATCCATCCTCTAAAGACAGAGAGACAATTTTGGTGTCAGGGGCCTGAAGGGATATTTAGAGTGAGTAGATTGGAGGGTGCAGTTACAGAATGCTGCTAAAATATTTTCCTCACTTCTGGCCTCATGTGGTTAGAAGGAACCTTTAAGTTTGACTTTCAGCAAGTCTCTGCACTTTTCTGCCCTGGTTTTTCAGTATTTATAAAATGACAGCTTAGGTTTGATCTCTGTCACAAATAAATATTCACTCTGTGCCTTATGGTGTAGTGCAATTTTTTTTTTAATGTCTGGGTCTTTTAAATAAATAGTTACAAATTTGTTTTAACATCCACTTAGGGCATATTATATACTACTTTAAGTTTTTAAGTTGGTTGATTTCAAAGATGTGGAGAAATTAGAACTTCTATATGTTGCTGGTGGGAGTGTAAAATGGTTCAGTCTCCACAGTAAACCGTTTGATGGTTTCTCAAGTCAGACATAAAATTACCATATGACTCAGCAATTCTGCTCCTAGGTATATATCCAGAACAATCAAAAAGAGACTTGAAACAAATACTTGTATGTTCATATTATCACTTTTCACAATAGCTAAGAGATGGACAACACAGATGCTCATCAAAAGATTATTGGGTAAACAATTTAATATATCCACACAATAGAATATTATTTAGCCATTTTTAAAAAGAGATGAAGTTTCAAAATTGCTATAGTATTTTGAATATTTTGCTAAGTGAAAGAAGCCAGACACATAAGGAAACATTGTAAGATTCCACTTTATGGAATATCCAGAATAGGTAAAGCCATTGACTAAGAAAAAATGGGTGGTTCCCAGAGGCTGGGAAGAGAGAAAAATGTGGAGTAACTATGTAATGGGTATAGGGTTTTATTTTGAGTTGATGAAAAAGTTTTGGGACTAGATACAAGTGATGGTTATATACACTGTAAATGTACTAAATGCCAGTCTTTAAAGTGATTAATTTTATGTTGTGTATATCTGACTTCAATAAAAAAAAAAGTGTTGATTAGTTTTGTACACTTTTCTGTAAATGTGAATTACAATTAAGTTTGGAAAATGATGTAGTAGAAAAATCATTAGCCACTATGCTGGCTTTTTTTTTTTTTTTTTAAAGAGATCCTCTATCCGCTGGTTTACTCCTCAAATGGCCACAACAGCCAGGGCTAGGCCAGAACTGGAACTCTATCCAGTTCTCCCACTTAGGAGGCAGAGATCCAAGCACTTGGGCCATCTTCCAGTGCCTTCCAAGGCACATTGAGAGCTGGATCAGAAGTAGAGCAGTGAGACTCGAATTGGCACCCATATGGGATGGTGGCTTCACAGACAGTGGCTTAACCCACTACCACAATGCCAGCCCCTGTGTTGGCTTTCAAACACCTCTCATAATACACATTAAGCATGGCTCTGTGGGTGTGTCACATGGTAGGACCCAAAACAGTATTAGTCCCTTTGTACAACTCAAAGACTTCATACTTCCTGAATGTGCCCATATCCCTGGGGCCACAGGATTCCTCCACACCTGCTGTTGTTCCAGGACCTTGTAGTACTCAGGCACTCTGTTTTCATGATTGGTACTACTTAAGTGCCCCAAGTTAAACTTCTAGAGAATAAAATCTTTTCTTATACTTCCAAAGCTGTTACACAGCTTGTAGCACATTGCTTTGTATCTCTGTCACAGTACTAGCAGGAAATGGAGGACATAGTCAAATTATGATAACTTGGAGTTTTTTTTTAGAGTGCGAAATACAGAGAAGTAGGGGGCTGACATTGTGGTGCAGTGGGTTAAGCTACCACCTGCAATGCCAACATCCTATATGGGTTCCTGTTCAGTTCCTGGCTGCTCTTCTTCCCATCTAGCCACCGGCTAATGGTACCTGGGAAAAGCAGATGTCCCAAGTGCTTGGGCCTCTGCACTCTGGGAGACCTGGATGGAGTTCCAGGCTCCTGGCTTCGGCTTGACCCAACCCCAACTGTTATGGCCATTTGGGGAGTGAACCAGCACATGGAAAACTCCGTGTCTCCCTTTCTCTCTAACTCTACCTTTCTTTTCTTTTTCCTTTTTTTTTTTTTTTTTTTTTTTTTTTTTGTAAGATTCATTTATTTATCTGAGAGGTAGAGTTTACAGACAGAGGAAGAGACAGAGAGGTCTTCCATCTGCTGATTCACTCCCTAATGGCTGCAGTGGCTGAGCTGGGCTGATCCAAAGCCAGGAGCTTCTTTCGGGTCTCCTATGTGAGTGCAGGGGCCCAAGGACTTGGGCCACCTTCCACTGCTCTCCCAGGCCATCAGCAGAAAGCTGGAATGGAAGTGGAGCAGCCAGGACTCAAACTGGCATCCATATGGGAAGCTGGCACCATAGACACAGACTTAACCTACCACACCACAGCGCCAGCCCCTGTAACTGTACCTTTCAAATAAATTTTTTTTTTTAAATTACAAAGAAATAAGCAGGAAAGGAGAAAGAATTGAATAGCAGTACCCACAGCTCCACTGTGTCTACCTCTGAACTCAAGATGAGCTACCTGTTAGGTAGAGAGAGCTTCCTCGATAAAAACTGACCACAGATGTACTCAGGAGAGCTCAGCAGGAAAGCAACGTGGAGAGTGGCTCTAAAGGGAGAGCATGAGATGTCTGGTACTACAGTACACAACAGCATTGATTCAGAGGGTGGGGGACGATGCTGCAGACTACAAGATGAGCAGCTTCCTTCAATTCTCTTCTTAGGCCATTTTCTTTTTCTTTTTTTTTTTTTTTTTCCATTCCCAAGTTGAGGGACGTAGCTTGATAGCCAAGGCCCCTTCCAAGTGCTTAGCTACTATGCGTAGGTCCTTAGCTACATCATCTTTAACCTTTTCAAAAAAGATTTTTGGGGGACGATGCTGTGGCGCAGCAGGTTAACGCCCTGGCCAGAAACGCCAGCGTCCCATAAGTGCGCTGGTTCTAGTCCCGGCTGCTCCTCTTCCCATCCACCTCTCTGCTATGGCCTGGGAAAGCAGTAGAGGAAGGCCCAAGTGCTTGGGCCCCTGCACCCACGTGGTAGACCTGAAGGAAGCTCCTGGCTCCTGGCTTCCGATCGGCGCAGCTCCAGCCATTGCGGCCATCTGGGGAGTGAACCAGCAGATGGAAGACCTCTCTCTTTCTGCCTCTCCTCTCTCTGTGTAACTCTGCCTTTCAAATAAATAATCTTTTAAAAAAAGATTTTTGTTTATTTGAAAGGCATAGTTACAGAGGGCTGGCGCCACGGCTCACTGGGCTAATTCTCTACCTGCGGTGCCGGCACCCCGGGTTCTAGTCCCAGTTGGGGCACCAGATTCTGTCTTGGTTGCTCCTCTTCCAGTCCAGCTCTCTGCTGTGGCCCCGGATGGTGTTGGAGGATGGCCCAAGTGCTTGGGCCCTGCACCCATGTGGGAGACCAGGAGGAAGCACCTGGCTCCTGGCTTTGGATCGGCACAGTGCCGGCCGTAACGGCCATTTGGGGGGTGAACCAATGGAAGCAAGACCTTTCTCACTAACTCTGCCTGTCCAAAAAAAAAAAGGCATATTACAGAGCCCCTAAGGAGAGGCCTATCATCTACTCCCCAAATGGCTGCAACCGCTGGAGCTGGGACAGATGGAAGACAGGAACCTGGAACTCCACCCAAGTCTCCCACATGGTGGCAGGGGCCCAAGCACTTGGGCTATCTTTTGTTTCTTTCCCAGGTACATTAGCAGGAATCTGGATTGGAACTGGAGCAGTCAAGATTGAAACCAAAGCTTGAGACCAGTGCTGTGATGTAGTGGGTAAAGCTACCTCCTGCAGTGCTGGCATCCCATATGGGTACCAGTTCAAGTCCCGGCTGCTCTGCTTCCAATCCGGCTCTCTGCTGTGGCCTGAGAAAGCAGCAGAAGATGGCCCAAGTTCTTGGGCCCCTGCACCCGTGTGGGAGACTCAGAAGAAGCTCCTGGCTCCTGCCTTCTGCCTGGCCCAGCTCTGGCTGTTGCAGACATTTGGGGAGTGAACCAACAGATGGAAGATCTCTGTGTGTCTCTCCTCTCTCTGTATCTCTGCCTTTAAAATAAATAAATCTTAAAAATAAAAAAAAAAATGCCTGAGTCCCAGGTCTGTGTCATGGCACAGAGGTTTAAGTCACCACTCACAACACCAACATCCTACATCACAATACCAACTCGAGTCCTGGCTGCTCCACTTCTGGTCCAGCTCCCTGCTGATGCGCCTGGGAAAGCAATGAAAGATGGCCCAAGTACGTGGGCCCCTGCCACTCATAGGAGACCTGTACACAAGCAGGCTCCTGGCTTCAGCTTGGCGCAACCCTGGCTGCTGCAGCCATTTGGGGAGTGAACCAGTATGGAAGATTTCTCTAATTGCCTTTCAAGTAAATAAATGTTAAAAAAAAAAAATGCCCACATTGGAGGTTCTGGGTTTGATCTGTCCTCTGGCTTCCACTTTCCTGTTAACAAAGTCCCTGGGAGGCGGCTATAGTTCAAGGGATTGGATTCTTACCACCCACTTGGCAAGAGTCTTGGCTGGATTGGGTTCCCAGCTGCTGGCTTGAGACCGGACCTTGGTGTGAGCATGTGGAGGGTGAGCCAGCCCAAAGGAGCTCTCTAATAAATAAAGACTGATTTAGAAAACCGAAGCTTTCAAGCACAAATACTTGAACATCCAATTTTTTTTCTCGTTTCTCTATATTTACAAATAGATCACCTTCAACCATTAATACAAACGTTTCTGTATTGGAGTTCGCTGTCGTTCTTAGCAAGTAGAGATGCAGGAACTCAGCTCCACAGGAAGTTACAGAATAGGCACCACTCTGCGGCCACTTTTTAAAGATCTAACACGGCGTCCGTCAGACACAGGTGGTCGGAGCTGCGGGCGCTCGGCCTGGATCACCGGCCTGCTCATTCCCCGTACATTACCGAGAGTTAACTCAGCCTCGTTACCTCCGGCTGCGGTTTCCTAGCCACGCTTCAGTTACAAGCGGGGCTCATAGTCTTCCGCTTCCACAAGAACCTGCAAGAGGAGACACTGTCTGCACTTCGCAAGGGAGCAGTCCACGCCCACGGCTGCACAGCCGCTGCCCTGACACCTCTTGACGGTTCTAAGCTTCCCTTTTGTGACGCTCGACACAGGAATCCCAGCCACCGCTCGGGTAGGGAAAGAGCGTGGCGCGCGGAGCCCGGGCGGCGGCGCGCGGGAGCCCCGCCTCGCCGGGCGGGACCCTGGGGAGGCGGGGCGTGCGGCCGCGGGAATCCCAAACCCACCTCTTTCCCTGCCCCTCCGTCCCTCGCCATGGCCCCTGCGCTGCTGCTGATCCCTGCAGCCCTCGCCTCTTTCATCCTGGCCTTTGGCACCGGAGTGGAGTTCGTGCGCTTTACCTCTCTTCGGCCACTTCTCGGAGGCGTCCCCGAGCCTGGTGGTCCGGGTGAGCGGGAGGGGTCGAGGGGCCAGGGGGGTGGAGCCGGAGGAGAGGGCGCGGGGGCGGGGCTTGCAGACAAATAACCAGGGAAGTCCCTGAGAGGGAACCCCGACCGAGACTGCCGGACTGAGGGACCCAGGGCTGAATTGGCAACGTGAGGACTAGCGATTTGGAGAGGCCAGAGGGTGAGGACGCGGGGAAGGAAAGGGCCGTCGACAGAGTCTCCTAAGGAACGTGTTGTGTGGAGAGGACAATGGAGAGTGTTAAAAAGAAGAAGCACTTGCAGAAGAAGTTAGAGGCAATGGAGCAGTGGCCTCCCCTGCCCTGCTTGTCCAGCTGCCCAGCGTGCGTGTTCCGTGAATGCTCTCCCGCACCCTAGGCGTGCGAGGAGAAGCGAGGACTGGAAAAGGGAGATGGAACATGCCTTCCATCTTCTTGACATTTTGTCCCTTTCCCTCGCCTCCCTCCAGATGTCCGCCAGGGATGGCTGGCAGCTCTGCAGGACCGCAGTGTCCTTGCCTCCCTGGCCTGGGACCTGGGGCTTCTGCTCCTATTTGTTGCACAGCACAGCCTCATGGCTGCCGAGACAGTGAAGACGTGGACCACCCGGTACTTTGGGGTCCTGCAGAGGTCCCTGTACGTGGCATGCACTGCCCTGGCTTTGCAGGTAGGAGCCCTGGAGCTGAGTCCCCAGGGGAGACAGAGCATGTGCGGGAGACTCCCTGGACTGGAGGGGCAACACGTGGTTCCGCAGACTGAGAAGCAAGGGTGTTCAGGAGTTGAGTCTCACAGTCTGTTCCTCCCCAGCACATATTCTACTTTGTATCAAGACGGGTGTACCAGTTGCTCCCTAGCACAGTAGGTACATTCTCAGCTTTGCAACTTTGCTCAGTGCCACTGCATTCAACAGCACCATTTCCCTGGCCCTCAGTTGCTCTCCGACTCCTCACTGAGGGCCGGCATGGGCTGCACCGGGTGCCTACCTCTCAGTTCATCCCAGCCCTTCTGTGGGGCCGCAGGCAAGAGATGAGTCATCTGCGCGTCCTGGGACCCCAACCCAGCACTCTCCCCGTGGTGAATGCTTGTTGGTGATGCTCATGAGAGAGGCAGGGGGAGTTGCAGGCCTTGGGGTGGGGACAACCTCTGGGCCTGGGTCTCTCAAGAGTGGGCCAGGTGGGCTGTCAGATCCCCAGCCCGTCACCCTTATTCAGGTGGTAATGCGGTACTGGGAGCCGGTACCCAGAGGCCCTGTGTTATGGGAGGCTCGCGCGGAGCCCTGGGCCACCTGGGTGCCCCTCCTCTGCTTTGTGCTGCACGTCATCTCCTGGCTCCTCATCTTCAGCATCCTTCTCGTCTTTGACTACGCCGAGCTCATGGGCCTCAAACAGGTAAGGCTCTGCGACCCCTCGCCGAGACCCCGACCCTCTCTAGGACTACCCCCTTTCCTTCCAAGGACTCCCCTCCCCCTCCCACACTCTTCTAGGCTTTCTACTGCCCCCTCCTCCCTTTAGTCCTCCTTTACCCTTGGTGAGAGCCACGGGTCTCCTGGGACCTGAGATGAGGGTCAAGGGCCCAAGTCCCAGAATGGGGGATTCCTGGAGGTGGAGTCCAGGTTGGAAACCAGGCTTCGCCATGGTTCTAAGATGTCCTCCCTCTCCCAGGTGTACTACCACGTGCTGGGGCTGGGCGAGCCTCTGGCCCTGAAGTCCCCCCGGGCTCTCCGCCTCTTCGCTCACCTGCGCCACCCAGTGTGTGTGGAGCTGCTGACCGTGCTGTGGGCGGTGCCCACCCTGGGCACTGACCGTCTCCTCCTCGCTCTCCTCCTTACCCTTTACCTGGGGCTGGCTCACGGGCTTGACCAGCAAGACCTCCGCTACCTGCGGGCTCAGCTACAGCGGAAACTCCACCTGCTCTCCCGGCCCCAGGAGGAGGCGGCAGAGTGAGGAGCTAACTCTGGTTCCAAGCCCTGTACTTCCTCTCCCCCTCGAGTTCCAAACTCCTTAACCTCCAGGCCTTAGCTGCTGAATTCAGTCCAGAGACCCGAGGCCAAGCGTGAAGGGGGATGTCCCTTCCACTGCTTGGGACTTATTCCCTGGGTCCTAAATTCTGAGTTGCAGCCACTAGACTCCAAAGTCTGATTGTCACCAGCTAGCAAGAGGGGGCATAGAACTCATCTGTCTGCTCACAGGTTACAGCATGAGCTGTGCACCTCCCCCCCCCCCCCCAGCAGCCTCCTCACATGGGAAGGGTCTGCCCTGACCACTCCCCTGAAACTGTTATTTTCTTCTCCACCTCTCACTTCCACTCCAAAAGCTCGATGTGCACTCCGTGGAAAATAAAATTCAGCCTGTGTTTTGTTCATACGCAGTCTGTCAGCGAACAGCGTCTCAGCTGTAGGGCTGAGTGTGGGAAGCGGGAGCATCGAAATCAAGTGTGGGCAGTCACCGCGCCCTCTGGTGACCGCCCGACTGCGGCCACTCCTCGCGGGCCCGCCCCCACTTTCCTGAAGCGGGCCAGTCGGCTTCCTCCGAATCCTCCAGTTTCCCCGCGCCACACCCGGGGACCCCCGGGGGAGACAAGGTGAAGCTAAAAGGGTGGGGGGCAGCACTAAGGGCAGCGAAGCCTCCAAGGCCATTGGCCTCTGGGCGCCCGTCTTCCCGTCCCCACAGCCTGGCGACCGCCCTCGACCCCGCAGTAACAAAGGCTGGCCCGGGAAGGCAAAAGCGTGGGGCGGAGCGGCGAGGGATGGGAAGGGCGGGCTCGGTCGGAGCAGCTGCAGCTTCCTCCCCTAGTCCCTCGAGGGGCCTGAGTCACTGGCCGCCGCCCTGGTCCGCGAGCTGGGGGCGGGGGTCTGGAAACCCTGGTTCTTCAGGGCGGACGGGCAGGGAGCGGGTGAGGGTCCCTGGGGGTGCCGGGAAAAGAGGGGAGTCCCGGAGCTCATTCCGCGCGGCGGTGGGGGGCGAGGCCCCGCCCCCTCCCGGGCTCCGCCCTGCGCCCCCTTCCCTCTCCTCATTGTCCTTAGACAAAGCGGTCGCCGCCCCCCGGCCGGCCCCCTCGTCTGTCTCCGTCCCTCCTCCCCTGCTCCCTCTCTCCCTCCTCCTCTTCCCACCTCCCCACCCCCCCAGCCTCCGGATCTCCCTGGATCCCTCTCTCCTCCTCTTCCTCTCTCCGGACGCCTGGCTCCTCCGCACCCCGCCCCCGAGGGCCCCGCGGCGCGTGAGTTGACCTGGGGGCTCCGGCTCGGGGAGGGGGTGTCCCCGCGCTTCCGACCCCGCTGTCGCCCGGGGCTGGGACCTGGGGCCGTCCCTGGTCTTTGTGCCGAGACTGTGTCTGTGCAGTCTGAGCGGGTGGCAAGGGCCGGTTCTGTCAGGGGCCCGGGGCAGCGGGCTCGCCGGCCCCCGGGGAAGAAGCGTGGAGCTGGCCCTCAGTGCGCCAAGGGGCCCGGGGCGCAGCCGCCGGGTGTGGTGACGGGACCAGGAGGGGTGGACGCTGGGGTTCTGGGAACGGACTGGCAGCACGACAGCCGGGTTCCAAAAGTCCCCGGGGAGGGTATTTCCCCTGACCCGCCTCGGAGGGGGGGTGCGGGTCGGGGGTGGGGGCGGGGGGCCCAGAGGCGTGGCCCGCGCGCGGCTGGAAGTGGAGCCCGGACTTGTGCGGCCCGCGCCGAGTCGCGCCCGGCTGCCGCCGCCGCCGCCGTGCTCCGTCCCCTGCTGCCCCCCATCTCCCCCTCTCCCCTCGACCTCTGCGCTCTGCGCCCCTCCTCACCTCTCCGGCATCCCCTGGGTCCCGCGCCCCCTACTCTCTGGCGGGAATCCCTGCCCTTCCGTTCCCCTTCTCACCTCCCTCCGGGCTGTCCCAGCGGGCATCCTCGCCTGAGCCCGGCCCCCGCTCACCCCAAGCCCACGTTTCTCTCACTTCCCTCACGCCAGCTTCTCTCTTCAGCCTTCTCTGTCCTCTTCGCAAACACCCGTTGACTCCGTGCTGCCAAATCTGGCTCCTGCCTCAGCCCTGAATCTGGACTCCTACTCCCACATCACTGCTACCCCGAACTTGGCCTTCTGAGGTTCCTCCATTCTCTCCTCTCCCCTTTCCTTCGTCCTCATCCTCAGCTCCTCTGCCCTCCATTTCCTCTCCCCACCCGGAGCCTCACCCCCTGGGCCTCCCTGGAGCCCCTCCTTCCTGTTCTCTGCCCCCAGCGCTCCTTACCCTCACTTCAGGAGGACCATGGCCACCATCCCAGACTGGAAGCTGCAGCTGCTAGCCCGGCGCCGGCAAGAGGAGGCAGCGGTTCGCGGCCGGGAGAAGGCAGAGCGGGATCGCCTGTCCCAGATGCCAGCCTGGAAGCGGGGGCTTCTGGAGCGCCGTCGGGCCAAGCTTGGCCTATCCCCAGGGGAGCCCAGCCCAGTGCCTGGGACTGCAGAGGCTGGACCTCCAGACCCAGATGAGTCGGCTGTCCTTTTGGAAGCCATCGGGCCAGTGCACCAGAACCGATTTATCCGGCAGGAGCGGCAGCAGCAGCAGCAGCGGAGTGAAGAGCTGCTTTTGGAGAGAAAGCCTGGGCTGCTGGAGCCTCGGGATCGGAGACCCAGCCCTGGGGAGATGCGGGATCTCAGCCCCAAGGGCAGAGAGTGCCGAGAAGAGAGACTAAGCCCCAGGGAGAGGAGGCTGGGGCCAGGGGGAGCCCAAGAGTCCAGCCCCAGGACTTTGGAAACTCGGGACTGCAGGCCAAGCCCAGGAGAGGTGGGAGACAGGAGCTCCCGGCCCTCTGAGGCTCAGAGATGCAGGCTGAGTCCAGGAGAAGCCCCAGAGTGGAGCCCGCGACAAGCAGAGCCTCAGGAGCAAAGCCCCAGGAGGAAAGAGGTGGTGGCAAGCAGGTTGAGCCCAGGGGAGTCTGGTGTCCCCAAGTCGGGGTTGACGGAGGCCCATAAGTGGAGGCCTGACGCGGGAGAGTCCCCAGGAGCAGAGCTTGGTACAGCTGGAGACACTCGAGTCCAGGCTGAGCCCGGGAGGAGAAGGAAACGTCTGCGCCGAGGAGCGTGGGAGAGAGGAAAAGGGGACGGCCCCAGCAGAGATGGCAGGGCTGACGGACGTCCTGACCCATGGTGCTCAGGACCACAGCCCCAGGGGCTCGGAGGCAGCAGAACAGAGGCCCAGCCCAGTGGAAGATGGCCTGAGGAGCTCCAGGCCGACAGACGGGTGCAAATGGACCCTGAACTCCGGAAAGGCTCGAGAGTGGACACCCAGGGACGCAGAGACTCAGCCTCACAAAGCAGAACCTCCAGAGTCTGTCGAGAGGCGTCTGGGGCCTCCTAGTACAGGGGCTGGAGAAGCCGAGGCAGCAGAGGAGGAGGCGGGGGCTCAGGGCAGGCCTCTGAGAGCCCCGCAGAACCTCCGCTCTGCACCCTCCCCCCTCCCACCAGAGGACGCTGGGACTGCCGGCCCGAGACTGCAGGAAGAGGAAGCAGTGGGACTCCGGCCCCCACCAGCAGCCCCTCTGTCTCCCCCACCCCCAGCCCCTGCTGCTCCCCAGCCCTCTGGGGACCCCCTCATGAGCCGACTGTTCTATGGGGTGAAGGCCGGGCCAGGGGTGGGGGCCCCCCGCCGCAGTGGACACACCTTCACCGTCAACCCCCGGCGGTCTTTGCCCCCGGCCACCCCCGCCGCTCCGGCTGCCCCAGCCCCGGCTGATGCTGCGGTCCCTGGGGCTGGGAAGAAGCGGTACCCGACAGCCGAGGAGATCTTGGTTCTGGGGGGCTACCTCCGTCTCAGCCGCAGCTGCCTTGCCAAGGGGTCCCCCGAAAGACAACACAAACAGGTAGGGGAGCAGCCCGGCCAGACTTCTGGGCCACCCACCTGTCAGTTCCCTGGGTTTTCTGGAATCTGGGCTTGCTTTTTATACCCGCCGTGTTGCTCTGTTCCCTCTCCCGTCGTCCCTGCCACCACCCTTCGTTCTGGAGCCCTGCTTTTCCATTCATTTCGGAGCCCCAGGGACCAGCCCAGCAGTGCTGCTGTCTCTGGGTGTGTCTCCCAGGGTGTGCCCAGCCTGCTCATTCTCCCTTGCCTCCGGCTGAGTCTCACTCCCACCCCACCCCCCTTTGCTTTCCTTCCTTTGCTCTGAGCTGGGACCCACCCCGGCCCATCTGGTGGGAGAGATGTGGGCCCGAGCTTGCAAGATCGAGGTGATCGGGCTGACAGCACTTAGAGCTCTCAAAGAGAGAGGGGGGCAGCAAATATCGGCAGGGAGTCCGGTTTGGGTTCTGGAAGAAGCGGCAGGGAGGAGTGGAGAGGAAGCTCTTATGGCTTTGAGGGCCAGGGAGCCAGAGCCTGGCGGGCGAGGGGATGGGGCAGGGCCTGCTGCGGAGCAGAGAGAAGAAAGCTTTGGAACCCCAAGTGTGCCCCGTGGGAGAGAAGCACACAGAGGCCATTTGAAGTGGGTGACCTCGGGGTTGCATACCCCCCAGCTGGGCCACTGCCTCAGACAGTACTCCCTTCTCTCGGGACAAGAACAGCCTTTTCCTCTTCCAAAATACCCCCACCCCCCCACCCCCTGTCCTTCCTCCCTGAGCTGCCCCTCCCTCTCCAGAACTGGCTCAGCAGTAGCTTTTCCCCCCTCTCTTCCTGCCACCCTGGCCTCCCCCTCACCGCCGCCCCAACAGCGGTAGAAAGAGAAGTGCATCTGGGCCCCAGGGTACAGCAGCAGGTGGGGGCTGAGACTGGCAGCGGGTCTGAGGTTGGACTGAGGCTGGGACACACAGGGGAAGTGGCAGCAGCCAGGCTGACTTCTCCCCCTGGCCGTGGCCCAACGCCTGCCCTGGGCACATCAGTTTCCAGTTTGAAAATCCCTAGGGAGCAGTCCCACACTTGACCTTGCAAGCAGACGTCTTTCCACTCCCAGCCTGGGAAGCCCCGTACCCGGCTCCTTCGGCGTGTCATGGCCTCAGATGTGTTGTCTTGGGTCCCCATTGTTGGTGGGAAGCCGCAGGGACCAAAGACCTGGCTTAAGCTTGGAGGTCATTTGGTCACTTTGCATCTTCAGCTGCCTCTGCGAGTTTACCTTGAACCCTCTGTCTGCTTCCAGCCCCTTTCCCTTGGAGCTGGGCAGAGGCAAAGGAGGGAGGTCTGGAAATTCTGCCTGGGTGTGGTGTTCAGAAAACTCACTTCCCCCTGAGGTTTGCTCGTCCTTTGGGGAACCAGCGGAGGGAGGCATGAAGCGTTGGGGCTTAAAGCCCAGGGAGCATCCAAGGGGAGCCGGGAACTAACAACTGGGCAGGGCCAGTGCTGGTGACCATACCCAGGTCAGGGAGTAGGGCAGCCGGAAGCAGATCGCCCAAACAGGAAACCTGGGGTGGGGGCCGGAAAGCTGGTGGGGCTGAGTGGGCCCTGGGCCTGCCAGAACTGTGCTCAGGATGTGGTGAGAGAATAAGGAAGCAGCCCGCTGGGGTGCAGTGGGGGCGGGGAAGAGGCAGCTCACCCTCTGCCCAGCCTCAGGCCTTCTCCTCTCCCTCAGCGCCTGCTCAGCAGGGGCGGGTGTGTCCTGGCCCAGCTCAGCCCCACCCACCCTGGCTCAGCGAAAGGACGACCCTGCCACCCTACCCCACCCTGCCTTCCTGGAATAACTGCCGTTTGCAGGCTAATTCCATCAAATTGATCCCTGCTACCAGCGGAGATGCCAGCCCTGCCACTCACTGGAGCCCAGGATATGGGCTGTGGCTGGTGCCTTCCCCGGAGGCCCCGCCCTTCTCCGGCCCCCTGGGTGACCTTATATAGCAGATGAGAGAGAAGCCAGTGAGTCACCCCCCACTCCCCCCCCACTCTCATGCAGACTCTGCATTCCTGAGACGCCCAGTCAGAAGTGGAGGGGGTAGTGGAGAGAGGCAGAGTTGGGGGAGACTCAGGGCAAATAGAATGCAGAATAAAACTACAGAGGTGGTCTTCCCAAAAGAGGCTCTGAAGAGGAAACAAATGGATTCCTAGAAATTTGGGTAAACCCGCTAGCAACAGAATCCAGGAGCCACAGACCAGAGACTGGCTTGTAAGCAATGTAGTTGCTGTCACTTGATTCTACATGGCATCAGGGCCACCTGTATACCCCTACCTGGCCCCCCAGCCTCGGTCCTGTGTTGGGACCTCATCTGAGGTCGGAGATAGCTGAACCTCCGCATTCCGAGACTTCCATCAACAGCAGATACCCACATAGTAAGTGCAGTTGGCCCTCGCTGTGCATGGCGTCCACACACAGAGGACAGGAAGTATTTGGAAAAAACAAAAAGTCACATGTGTGCTAACCACGTGCATCCTCTTTATCTTGTTGTTACCCCCTAAACAACACTGGAACATTCACTGTCATAGCATTTACACAGTATTCAATGTTGGAAGGCACCTAGATGTGATTTAAAGTACATGAAAGGATGTGTGTCGGTTCTCTGTGCCATTTTCTTTTCTTTTTTTTTTTTTTTTAAGATTTATTTTAGGCAGGTGCTGTGGCTCACTAGGCTAATCCTCCACCTGTGGCACCAGCACCCCGGGTTCTAGTCCCGGTCGGGGCGCCGGATTCTGTCCCTGTTGCTCCTCTTCCAGGCCAGCTCTCTGCTATGGCCCGGGAGTGCAGTGGAGGATGACCCAAGTGCTTGGGCCCTGCGCCTGCGTGGGAGACCAGGAGAAGCACCTGGCTTCGGATCGGCACAGCGTGCTGGCCGCAGTGGCCATTGGGGGGTGAACCAACAGAAAAGGAAGACCTTTCTCTCTGTCTCTCTCTCTCACTGTCCACTCTGCCTGTCAAAAAAAAAAAAAAAAGAGAGAGAGAGAGAGAGAGACTTGAACATCTGCGAATTTTGGTGTCCAAGGGGGATGGTCCTGGAACCAATCCCCATGGGTCCCCAGGGATAATTGTATGTCCTCTAGTAGGCTGGAGGATGGTTATTATGAGAAGAAAATATAGAACAAGCAAGGAGATGGTGCTATGGCATAGCAGGCTAAGCCTTTACCTGTGGTGCCAGCATCCCATATGGGCGCCGGTTCAAGTCCCAGCAGCTCCACTTCTGATCCAGCTCTCTGCTGTGGCTTGGGAAAGCAGTAGAAAATGGCCCAAGTGCTTGGGCCCCTGCACCCATGTGGGAGACCTGGAGGAAGCTCCAGGCTCCTGGCCTTGGATTGGCCTAGCTCCGGCCATTGTGGCCATTTGGAGAGTGAACCAGTGGATGGAAGATCTCTATCTCTCTGTCTCTGTAACTCTTTCAAATAAATAAATTAAAAAACAAACAAACAAACAAAAAAAAACAGACAAGTGCCATTTAGAGGGTCAGGAAGTAAGGAAGTAAACCTGACAGCTTCAGAATAGGTCAACCAGGAGGTAGGAGCTAGGGATCCCTGGGGTTAGCTGGGAGAGAAGTGTTCCAGGCAGGGGCAGCAGCTGGGGTGAACCGCCCGATTGGGCTTGGAGGAAATCTGGCCAGTTAGGACGAATGGCATATTGTTCCAGCTCTGGCTGTGTCCTGAATGACATAGGGAGCCACTGCAGGATCTGAAGCCAAGCAGTGAGTTCCACATCCAGTCCCTGAGCTCCAGCTTTTCATGGGGACACAGGTGTCATCCTCAGCAGCCGCCTGTTCCGCCACCATCCTGGCTTCTCGCAGGGGCTCAGAAATGCAGGGCCCCAGCCCAGAGCGTCCCAGGTACACAGCAGGAAGGCCCAAGTGCATCGTGGGGACCTTTCCAGGCAGTTCACATGGAATCCTCCTGTTTGTCCCCCTAATCCCTCTGGCTCCTGGCGTTAATCCGCCCTCCCTCTCCCCCTGAGCTGCTCTAGAGGGCAAAGGGGCGGGTGGAAAGCGTGGAGGCCAGCTGGGGCAGCCTGTTCTTGGGACAGCGTATCTATGACGGATTTTCTGCCCCCTCGGGTCTGTCCCGCTGGCACACTCTCCACCCCCACGCTGTTTGTGTGGACTTTGCTCTCTGCCCCAGCTGCGCCTTTCAGGGACTCCCCTGTGTGCTGGGGAAGTTTCTCTTGGTTCCTCCGGGCCTTCCTCTTGGCCTTGTCCCTTCCCAGGCCCTGACCCTCTGCTGTGGGTCTATTGCAGCTACAGGAGATGAGTGACAGGAGTGAGATAAGGCATAGGTGCAGGGTCCTGGGTGTCCTGGGGGACAGCAAGAGGCAGAGGATGTGGAAATCAATGTCTTTGTCCCTTACTTTTGCTTGGGACTCTCCCCAGCTGGCTATTTTCTGCCTGACCAACTCAGATCTCACCTCCCCCGGGAAGCTTCCTGGATTGCTCCCCGGGAAGCCCAAAGACTCAGTTCTGATCATTGGATTTACATCCATGTGTTTTAATTTCATTTTACCCCTCCGACTCCACGTCCAAGAGCAGAGGCCTTGGTCCTATATTATTCCCTTCAGTCTCCCAGGCCCTGCCAAAGCCTGGACCAAAGTCTGATGATGGAAGGGGGAGAATCCAGGATTGAGACTCGGTGTGGAAAGGACAGGGATGCGGGGTGGGGGGAGCCAGTGGGGAAGTCAGGGGAAGTCCAGTCTGTGCTCCCTCCTCCACCTGTCCCCAGCCTGCTTTCTGTGCTGACCCTCCCATCCCCTCCCCTCCCACCCACAGCTCAAGATCTCCTTCAGCGAGACGGCCCTGGAGACCACGTACCAATACCCCTCGGAGAGTTCGGTACTGGAGGAGCTGGGCCCGGAGCCTGAGGCCCCCAGTGCCCCCAGCCCCGCGGCGGCGCCAGCGGACGACGAAGAGGAGGAGGAGGAGCTGCTGCTGCTGCAGCCTGGGCTCCGCACCAAGGCCCTGATAGTGGGTAAGCAGAGGCGCCTCTGGCCCGAGCGCGCCCCCTGGTGTCGGAGCGGGCGCTGCAGGCCCGGAGGAAGCTGGGAGTCTCACGTGGTCGCCTGGAGGGGGCTCTGGGCCAACCTGCGGGTTACACGGATGCAGGAACCCAGGTCCTGGGAAGTGATGTGTGCATTGAGTCTCCCGCTGCCACAGCCAGGGCTGCTTCTGAGCACTCAGTCTGGTTTAAAACACAGGGCTTGGGATGGGCCTTGCGGTACAGCCGGTTAAGCTGCTGAGAGTCCTTGTTCCAGTCCCAGCTACTCCACTTCCTATCCAGCTTCCTACTACTGCACCTGGGAGGCAGCGCATGATGGCCCAAGTATGTGGGCTGTGGGAGACTGGGATGAAGATCCTGACCCTGGCTTCAGCCCAGTCCACTGGATGTAAGACTCTCTCTCTCTCTCTCTCTTTCTCTCTCTCTCTCTCTCTGTCACTCTGCCTTTAAGAATAAAAATAAAGCACAAGGGTTGGGTCCGTGAGGTCTGAGTTTGAATCCCAGCTTGTGTTACTTGTGGTGTGACCTCAGAGAAACCAGCCAACCTCTGGCCTCCGCTTGCTACTTATGGAATGGAGTTAGTGGTCGCCTCCTGCTGGAGTTGTCGAAGGGGTTAAGTAATTTTTGTGAACACCTGGAACCACAGCTTGAATGGCAAACCTCTCGCGCGGTGATGGTGAGAATAGATGTTATAAGAGTGCCTGGCATTGTGACACGGCGAGTTAAGCTGCTGGTTGGGACACTCAATGTCCCATATCCGCATTCACTCATTCTCTCTCCTTATTGTACCCTCTGTGCCACAGATGAGTCGTGCCGGCGGTGACCCTCTTCTGACACAGGGACCTACCTCCCTCCTTCCCAGAACTGAAGATCCTGGAGCCAGAAGACTCAGAGCAGACCCTTCTGAAAATGAGCCTTTCCCATCTGGTTTCTGGGAGTAGAACCACTTGCTCCATTTCCACCCTAATCCAAGGTCCCTGGTGTGGGTGGGACAACCATGCAGGTGCATCCTGGGTGGCGGGCACCAGCTCACTGCAAGGTGGAGATGGAGCACCCCCCCGTCTCCATGGCAGGGTACACTCTCCCCACAGCCTTCCCCGACTCCCCACCTCTCCCTGGAGACTCAGGATTTAAGCACTCATCCCCCCACCCCCTGCCCGGGAGGCCTCCACCCCTTCCATGGCCAGGCACGTCCCCCTCCTGTGCCCCCAGGTTGCTGCCCCTTTGTTTACAGCTCCTGCCTCCTCTCCTGGCCACAGCCTGGTTTACAAAGCCCACCAGCTCCCAGCCCCACCTGCCAAAGTCCTGAGTTTACAAGCCACGCCTACTTCCCTGTCTGTGTGGCATCCTCTGGCCCATCCCCTTCAGTCATTTCCTTGGGAGTGGCCTGGGGATGCGGCTTCCTGCACTCTTCGCTCAGTATTACTGTGTCTCGGTTTTCCCCGGAGGGGAGGCTGGGAATCTTTTTAACTCTGTACCCCGAGAGAGTTATTTAATTCTGTCCCTTCTAGTGGGTCCCAGCTGAGCTGAGTTGCGGTGGTGTGAGGTGACCAGGGGGACACCTCACCTCTCCGCTCCCACTGCGCCTCTTCATCCTGGTTGGTTGGTTTGTTTTTTTAACTTTCTGTAATAAACTGGAGCGCTCTCCAACTTGCCTGCTGCTTCCATCGTATAAAGTCCACGTGAGGGGAGGCTGGGGGTGTGGGGGGAATGGTGAACCTCAGCTCTGCCATGAGCAGATGGCTCTGGGAAGCCACGCGTGGGTTTCCCAAAGGACAAGCAGGAGCCGGAGAAGGGCAGGTGGAGTGTCCACTGAAATGCAGGTGCCACGAGGGCACGGTCAGCTGGATTCACTGCAGTATCCCTACATCCGGGTACCTGGTTGACTTAAGTTACTTCCAGGGACCGGTGCTGTGGCGTAGCAGGTAAAGCCACCTCCTGCAGTACCTTCATCCCATATGGGTGCCCATTCCAGTCCCGGCTGCTCCACTTCCAATCCCACTGTCTGCTATGGCCTGGGAAAGCAGTAGAAGATGGCCCAAGTCTTTGGGCCCCTGCACCCTTGTGGGAGACCTGGAAGAAGCTCCTGGCTCCTGGCTTCAGATCAGCACAGCTCTGGCCATTGCGGCCAACTGGGGAGTGAACCAGCAGATGGAAGACCTCTCTCTGCCTCTGCCTTGCTGTAACTCTGCCTTTCAAATAAATAAATAAATATTAAAGTTTTAAAAATTGCTTCCAGAGTGCATGGCTGAACGATGAATGGGCAGAGCACAAGAGCTAGGGCACTGGAAGCCGGGGCCCTGAGCTGAGAATTCCAGGATTTCGAAGGCTGCTGCAATGCAGGCAGTCAGGAAGTGCCACATGAGTACTGCGCGTGGCTCCTTTGGGGACGCTTAAACTCCGCCACTTGGGACCAAGAGCGGCAGGCAGCCTGAAGTTGCTGCAAAATCAAGTTTGTACAGCGACTCAGTGGAGAAGGTTCTCTTCTGACAGAGGATTTTATATTCTACCTTGAAAAGCTTCGATGATTTGTGCTTGCTGCCCCGCTGCGGTTGTTACTAGGTTTTCCCATTTCAAAGACTCTTCTCCAAATGTGGAACGTTTGTATTTTACACGTTAGGTTTTTTTTTTTTTTTTAACTTTAAAATTTTTATTTTATTTGAGAGGAAGAAAGAGACAGAGAGAGAGAGGTCTTCCATCCACTGGTTCACTCCCAAAATGGCCGTAGTGACCAGGATTGGGTCGGGCCAAAGCCAGGAGCTTCTTCCGGATCTCACACACTGGTTGGGCCATCCTCTGTTGCTTTCCTGGGCACATTAGCAGAGGGCTGGGTCAGAAGTGGACCAGCTGGGGCACAAAACAGCACCCATATAGGATGTAGGCAGTGTCTTAACCCACTGTAAAATGCCAGCCCTCTCAGCTTATCTTTCTTTTTCTTTCTTTATTTTATTTATTTATTTTAAAAGCAGAGTTACAGAGAGGCAGAGTGAGAGTGAGAGAGGTCTTCCATCTGAGATTCACTCCCCAGATGGCTGCCATGGCCGAGCTGTGCTGATCTGGAGCCAGAAGCCAGGAGCTTCTTCCAAGTCTCCCACGCAGGTGCAGGGGCCCAAGGACCTGGGCCATCTTCTACTGCTTTCCCAGGCCACAGTAGAGAGCTGGATGGGAAGTGGAGCAGCCGGGACTAGAACCGGCACCCATATGGGATGCTGGTGCTTTAGGCCAGGGTGTTAACCCGCTGCGCCACAGCGCTGGCCCCAGCTTATCTTTCAATAAGCAGCCACCAGTGAATTAATCAAACTGACAGCACAAACGCTGAACACAGTTTGCCCATTTCAGATAATTTTGTCTTTTTTTTTTTAAGGAAAATTTTTTCTTTATTTGAAAGACAGTTACAAAGAGAGGGATAGACAGAGAGAGAGAGAGAGAGAGAGAGAGACGTATTCCATCTGCTGGTTCACTGCCCAAATGGCTGCAAGGGCCGGAGCTAAGCCAATCTGAAGCCCAGAGCTTTTTCAGGTCTCCTTTGTGGGTGCAGGGGCGCAAGGACTTGGGCTATTCTCTGCTGCTTTCCTGCATTGGGAGCTGTATCAGAAATGGAACAGCTGGGACTCAAACAGGCACCCATATGGGATACTGGTGCTTTAACCTGATGTGCCACAGCGCCGGCTGGCCCAAATTTTTTCTTGCAACAGTTTCCCCAGTTCCAACTTTCTTCCTGCTTGGAACTCCCCTTATAGCTAACCTGTATTCACTTTTGTTGCAGATACCATTTCTAGCAAAGGTCAATCCTGCTCAGCACCTGCTAATCTTTCACAGCATGAACATGATCTCATTTGAAATAAAGCCGGCAGCCCGCGTCCCCTTACCTTGAACTATTTTAGACCCGGTAGAAAATATGTACTTTTACTTATTTATTATGTGGCTTACCTCCCTTGAACTCTGAATGTAAACTCGATGTTTTGTCTGATTTACCGTCTGCAGTATCCCCAACATTTTACACCGTGCTTAAAACGCCTTTTTTTAGGCGCTCATTGAATTAATCTCCTTTGAACGAATGAATTAGCGAAGCCTCCACTGACCATCAGGGGGCGATAGAGAAATCGGGCAGGGAAGGAAAATGTGCTACCCAGAGCGAGATTTGATTCTGCGAGATTTGAACTCGCGTAGCCACCGTAGTGCTTAGGCCGGAAACGAGCATCCTCTTCCGGGCTCGGCGGAAGGCGGGTTTGGACTGTTGGAAACCGAACCCTGAGGTTCTAAAGCAGCTCCGTCGCGGGGCTAAGGCTCCGGCCCGGTGCCCCGGGCCTGCCACAGGCCCGGCCGCCGGCGCGGCTGCTCCGGACGCCTCAGCGCTGAGGACCGGGCAGGTGGGTGGCCATGGCGACGCCGGCGGGGCTGGAGCGCTGGGTTCAGGAGGAGCTGCACTCGGTGCTGGGACTGAGCGAGCGGCACGTCGCCCAGTTCCTCATTGGAACCGCGCAGCGCTGCGCCTCGGCTGAGGAGTTCGTGCAGCGCCTACGAGACACCGACACGCTGGACCTGGGCGGGCCGGCGCGGGACTTCGCTCTGAGGCTCTGGAACAAGGTGTCCGAGGGGCGGGGCAGGGGAGGGCCCCGAGTTACGCGTCCGGGGGAGGCTGGCCCGGTTGTCCATCGGGGAGATAAATAAGCTAAAGGCACAGTCATCCTTTGCCGACTGTAGGCTGGGTACTGTGCCTGGTGCCGGGCGTCCGGCTCGGTGGAGAGCATCCGGCAGGTCTTACATGGGGTGGGTTGAGTGCTGTAAAGCAATGTTCCTCCAGCTTCAACCTGCGTAGGAGTCAGCTGTGGTCCTTGTTCAAATGCCCGTGGTCCGCGGGCCGGGCTGTAAGTGGCCAGGCTCTAGAAGAGGTGGTTGGGAAACACTGCGGGAGAGCAGAAGAGGCGGCGGGGACAGTGTTCAGCAAACTCAGGCCCAAGGATCCCCGGGGATTTGTCAAGTGGAGAAGGGGGAGGGAGCGAAGGTGTGAGCGGTGAACTCCTGGAGGATCGCTGGCGTCTGTCCGGGTAGTCCTCCTGCCCAGCCGTTGTCTGTCGGACAGAGCAGGGCCCCATGTGTGCACAGAGTGGGAGTGTCCCAGAACGGTAGAGAGCCTGGTGCGGCTCCGCCTGCGGACCTGTGGCCGGTGTATCCTGCCATCTACAGGTGATGTGGTGATGTGTGACAGCCGGTGTCACATTGCGAAGTTTTGGAGTTTGTTTTTTTTTTTTTCTTTTTTTAAGATTTATTTTATTTATTTGAAAGACAGAGTTACAGAGAGAGGTAGAGACAGAGAGGTCTTCCATCCACTGATTCACCCCCAGGTGGCCGCAATGGCTGAAGCCACACCGATCCGAAGACAGGAGCTTCTTCCAGGTCTCTCACGTGGGTGCAGGGGCCCAAGGACTTGGGCCATCTTCTACTGCTTTCCCAGGCCATAGCAGAGAGCGGGATCAGAAGAGGAGCAGCCGGGACTAGAACCGGCACCCATATGGGATGCAGGCGCTTCAGGCCAGGGCTTTAACCTGCTGCGCCACAGCGCCGGCCCCACATTGCAGAGTTAACCCTTGTAGCCTGTCAGTCCTTGTGTAGGAATGACTTAAATCCTTGGGAAAAGCAGAACTATAAGAAAGTGGCCAAGTGATTGAGAACTGGGTGTGGGGTTGTAAGCTCTGGGAGGGCAGAGATTTTTGTTCATTCTGGATCCCTAGTACCTAGCAAGTACCCGACAGGTGGGATAGACCTCATTAAACGTGTGTTAAACAAGGAGGCTGTGGTATAGGGGGTGAAGCTGCCGCCTACAGCGCCGGCATTCCATATGGTACTGGTTCGGGTCCCAACTGCTCCACTTCTGATTCAGCTCTCTGCTAATGCACCTAGGAAAGCAGTAGAGGATGGCCAAGTCTTGTGCCCCTGCACCCACTTGGGCGTCCCGGAGAAATGTCCTAGCTCCTGGCTTAGATAGGGTTGTGGCCATCTGGGGTGTGAACCAGCAGGTGGAAGACCTTTCTCTCTGCCTCTCTGTAGCTCTGTCTTTCTTTTTCTTTTCTTTTTTTTTTTTTTTTTTGACAGGCAGAGTGGACAGTGAGAGAGAGAGACAGAGAGAAAGGTCTTCCTTTTGCCGTTGGTTCACCCTCCAATGGCCGCCGCGGCCGGCGCACTGCGCTGATCCGATGGCAGGAGCCAGGAGCCAGGTGCTTTTCCTGGTCTCCCATGGGGTGCAGGGCCCAAGCACCTGGGCCATCCTCCACTGCACTCCCTGGCCACAGCAGAGAGCTGGCCTGGAAGAGGGGCAACTGGGACAGAATCCGGCGCCCCGACCGGGACTAGAACCCGGTGTGCCGGCGCTGCTAGGCAGAGGATTAGCCTAGTGAGCCGCGGCGCCGGCCTGTAGCTCTTTAAAATCAATCAGTCAGTCTTTAAAAAAGTGAATGACGGAAAGGAAGTTCAGAAACTGAGGGGCTCTGTTGAGATGAGAGCAGGATGAAGTCATGGGGAGGAGAGGGAATGCTGGCTGATCTAAGATCAAGTCCTTAAGTCAGGGACAGCCAGGGGGGTGAGCAGCGGTCAGGAGTTGTTCACGCTGCTTATCCCTGACAGGTACCGCGGAAGGCGGTGGTAGAAAAGCC